CTGATAGCTTGGTCTTTGATCTTCTGACTGCAATGAGTGATTGTAGATTCAATTGAGAAAGAGTTGATGTTGAGATGTTCAAAGCTTGTTGTAGATTAGCTATTTCAGCTTGCTGAGCTGCTATTAAATCTCTGTTCTCACACTGGACCTGTTCCTGCTGTTGAAGAAAGGTCATTTATTGTTGTTCAAAGCTGCTGAGGGTGTCCCTGCTCATTGCTTTGTGTTGATTCATTTGTTGTACAAGTCTGCCACTTTATCTCATTCAGCTAGATGTTTTCAATGTTGCTTGTTCATTTATTAGCATGATTGCTAACTCAGTCTATTCATATATTAGTGCTATCACTGAACTTCATGATGCAGAATTTAAGGCTTTCAATAGTCTATCATATGTCAGTACATTTGCTGAGCTTTGTGATACAGAATTAAAGCTCTCAGTGACCTATCAATGAAAGAAGTGAAGTAATTTATAATGTAAAAGGTTAAGCTCTAAGAACTAAAGACTAGTCCTCCTATATAACAAGGACAAATTGCTTGAGAAAGAGAAGAAAAAAATAAGATGAGAACTCAAGCTTAAGCAAGCTCACATAGCATGATCACATGTACATGTGTGAACAATGACTAGGCTGAGTCAGCCAGCCAGAGCAAATCTAGAGGTTCAACCTCTTATATAAATACTCTATAAATATAAAAACTATTTAATAACTATATTAAAAAAAAAAAGTCAACTTCATTAAATATATATATATATATATATATAAATAAAGTTTTTCTTAAATTTATTTTTTAGAAATTATTTTAATATAATATATTAAAATTACTTATTTAATTAGCAATTAAACATCTATTTTATTTATATTTAGATTGAAGTTATAATAACTACTGTACTATGATAATATATAATTATTAATTATAAATAATAATATTAACTAAAAAAAATAATAATAATAGTTTAATAATTATTTTAAAAAAGTTATTGAATAACTATTTTATAAATAAATATTTTATAAAAACTATCTAGTAATAATATAATAATTATTAATAAAAAATAGTAAAAAAAAGATATATAAACAAAAATATTCTCAAATTATTATTTTATTAAAATAACTTATATAATTAATAATTAAATACTTATTTATCTATATTTAAATTTTATAATAAGAAATTTTATATTTAAAATAAATAAATAAAGTTATAAATATACTATATTTATTAATAAAAATTTTTATAATATATTAAAATTAAAAATTTAACTATATTAATTTATATAATAGTAGATATAATTTTTTATATTTTTTAAATAATTAATTTAAAAATTAATTTTTTCTATAATTTAAATAATATTTAATATTATAATAATAAATTTTAAAATATAATTTTTTTAATCTTTTTTATATATAATTATATCATATTTTTAATAAAATAAAATAAAAATATAAATTTTTAAATTTTTAAATAAAAATATCTTCAATATTTTTAATTCAATTAAAGTTATATAAAATTTATTAAAGAAAAAAAGTATATTATATATTTTTTATTTATAAAAATATTAAAAATTAAATATAATTATTTATAAAATTGAGTTTTTAATATTGAGTATTTTATTTTAATTATATATTATAAAATATAAATAATATAAATTTTATTATATTTTAAAAAATAAACTTTAAATAATAACTTTAAAATATTAAATATAAAAATATAAATTTATTATTTTCTAATTTTTTAAAAAAAAACTTATTTTAAAATCTTAAAAAAATTATATATTTACTTTTTTCAATTATAATTCAATATTAAATATTTATTAATTTTCATTTTACTAAATATTATAAAATTATATATTTAAAAATATTAGTTAAAATATTTAACTTATTAATATTCTTATTATATTTATTAAATTAATTAATTATTTTATTGTTATAACTATTAGTTATAAAGATTATTTTAAAATATATTATTATATTTTAAAAATTTAAATTATATTATAAATTATAGAAGAATTAATAATAATAATATTTTAATATAATTATTAATAATTAAATTATTTAAAGTACTTTTAACTAAAGCTTTAGTTTTATATTATAACTTAATTAGAGTCAAAATGATAATAAAATAATAACTTTAATTTATTTATCTAATTAAACATCTATGATGAGAATATTAAATTGAGAATTAAAATATAAAATAAACAAATAGTTCAATATATAAAGATGATTGAAAATTAAAGTGAATCAATTTTTAAATTATAGATAATTAAAAATTAAAATAAATTAATATGAGCAATTAAATATGATTGAGATTAGAATAAATCAATCTTTAAAATGTAGTAAAATAAATTAATTTTAATTCATATATAAGCAGGTATATTATAATATTATTTTTTGATTTAAAAAAGTACTTGCTTTCAAATAACTGTGTTAGAAGCAAAAAAAAAGCAAAATGAAAATTTACTAAGCTTTTTAGTAGACTAATTGCTTTGATTATCATTTATTAGATTCTTATAGATTTATTTTCATATCTCAGTAATATCAAATTTGTCACAGATTTTTACCTAGAGGCTGGGATTTATTTGACAGTTTTGACAGCAGTGATGAGACTTAAAGAAATATAGACAGAAGTGACAGTCTTCAATTCAATAATCATTAGATTTGCAATGTACGCAACAGTCTTCTTTATAGGGCGTGTGGTGGAGAACCATCATGTAAAAAGTCAAAGGCATTAAGCTGAATCTGATAGGATTATGACGAGCAGGGTGATCAGAGTGAGGCAGGGCTATTGGAGCGAGCTGAGCTATTGAGCGATTAGAGCGGACCAGGCTATTGAATGAGCTGAGCTATTGAGGTGAGCTGGGCTATCAAGCGAGCAAGGCTATCAAATGAGCTATGCTATTGAAGCAAGCTGAGCTTTTGAACGGCCGGCGAACAGCTGAGAAGTGTGTGGCAAAAATGAATAGAAAGAACTAGAAGCTAATTGCCGGACAACATGCAAAAATTCCTTTTCGATTCAAAGAAGATTTAACTGCTAAGCTAGATGATTGCAGATTAACATGATGAGAATATATGTATTTAAACTTAGCAATATAGATTGTCAGGAATTTGTTTGAGATCTAACAGTAAGAGCATTAGATAGAATTGAAATCAACATTGAAAGTCATTCAGAGTTGTTGATTTTGATGATAAAGCTTCTAAATAGTACTTTTAAATTTTTGATAAAGAGCAGCAAGAGAAGCTTTCATAATGAAGATAAAAAAAGAACTAAAAATTAATAAAAATTTTGAGTACTCAGTATGATCATAATGACTAAAAAGCTCATATAGATATAAATATAAACTCAGATATAAATATAGATTTGATCATTTAACATAGTCACAATTATTGAAAAGCTTATATGAATATAAATATATAAAGATTTTCTATTTAATTTTCAGAGCTTTTTAAAAAAAAGAAGCTTAGTATTATATTATAACTTAATTAAAGTTAGAATAATAATAAGATAACAGCTTTAATTCATCTATTTAACTAGACACTTACAATAAAAATACTAAACTGAAAATTAAAATATAAAATAAATAACTAGCTAAATATATAGAGATAATTAAAAATTAAAATAAATTAATTTTTAAAGTAGAAATAACTAAAAATTATAATAAACTATTATAAACAATCAAATATGATTGAAATCAAAATAGATCAATTTTTAAAATATAGTAAAATAAATTAATTTTAATTTATATATAAGTAACTATACTGTAATACTTTATAACTTTATATTTTTCTTTATTATTTTTTAATTTTAATTATTTTTTACTAAGATAATATTAATTAGAATTATTACTATTGAAATTTTATTCAATCAAAGTATTAATAAGCAAATTAAAAAAATATAATAACTGTAAAAATTAAAAAAAATTTAAAATTAAAATCTTAAAAATTTTATAAATAGTTAAATTTTTAAAAATTTTAGTAAAAAACTTTTAAAAAATAAAAAATTGATTTAAAATAATTAATCTATTTAAATTTATTTATATATAAGTTTATAAATATATAATAAAAAATTATCTTATAAAATTAATTATTTTTATTATTATTTTAATTAATTAAAAAAATAAAAATTGATATTAAAATGCTTTTAAAAAAATATTTTATTTTAAAATTTTTTTTTTTAGAGAAATATTTTATAAAATTTTATTTTCTTTATATGTTGTTATAATATAGCTACTTATATATAAATTATGATTAATTTACTTTAATTTTTAATAATTTTTTTATATTTAAATACTCATTCATTTCTTATTTTAATTCTCAGTTTAGTGTTCTCATCATAGTTGTCTAATTAGATAAATAAATTGCAGTTTTTTATATTAACTTTAGATTAAATAATAATATATATCATTAAAAAATTCAATAATATATCAAAAAAATTATTATATAAAAGGTGTAAATCTTTTAATATATGAAAATTAAATAAGATGATAAAAAGATCAAATTAAGAAAGTAGTCTGCTGATTTCAACAAGATAATTTCTGAATTGACTGTATTTAAATGCAAAACAGACCTTAATAATTTGACAGAATGACAAACTTGATTGATTGCAGAGTTTGCACACTACAAGAATGACTAGTTATGGTGGAAAATACATCACGTGATTTTTATGTCTGACATTTATTATGTGTGTACATCCCTGCAAATGTGGAGGAGTTTTTAGAATGAATTCTGAGGTTTTATATTTTCTTTCAGGCAATTAGAGTGATTCTAGGTTAAAACATTTTTAGCTTCTTTGCATATCTATCACTTTTTATTTCACATACACAATGACAAAATTCATACCTTTATGATCAAAACGTGTTATGTCATATGTTCTTGAGCATTTTTTGATAGGTGCAAGGAAAGGGGATCATGTTTGAGGGGTAATCTTACATGCAACATGCAACTGCACGAATATATACAAATCAATACCAATGTAGTTAACCACATTCCATGATTCAAACTTGGCATCACATGGTGCTAAATAAAATCATTCTTAGGCAATTCCTTGGGGGCCTTTATCAACCCCCGTGAAGCCAGAAGACGAGCTTGTATTAGCCTGAGGAAACGATAAATGTTGTCTAGTATTGGAGTTGGAACCCCTCTAACTCTCGCGACCCGTAAAGCATTACCCAGTATTGCTTCCGCCTCGACCGGATTTCCCTTATCCACATCAACCAACATGCTGGGCCGGAACGAAAGTTCAATCGGAGCTGTCTCAATCATGTCATCAATAACGCCTTTACCAAGATCATAACCATCAGCCTTTGCAATGGCTACGACTTCTGCCATAGCAGGCCGAATTAAGCTGTAGTCACCGCCAAATTGCCTAATTGCTGCGCTGTCTAGCTGCGTAATGGCACACATGGGATTGAACGTGGCATTCCACAATAACTTCCGCCATCGGTAAAACACAATGTCATCTACTTTTCTGACTTCGACGACATTGCTAGTGGTGTATGCCGTGGCGAATTCGTCGAGTTTTGCTTTCTCGAGTGAGGCATCCAGAGATGGATTGCGAAAGGCTCCCAGGTCCATACAGTCGTGGTCGTTGTGGCTTACATGTCCATCTCGCTGGTGAGCACCGATGTAACTAGCACCAGAGAGCAGGACGCAGGTTGGGAATGCTTTGATAAAGTCTTCCTCAATGTATATTCCGTTTTGGATCAGGACGATACTGGTATGTCCTGGCGTTACAGCTGGCTGGATAATTTCTGGAATGCTGCATAGTTCTGGGATAGTTTTCATTGTAACAATGACATAGTCGAATGGCTGAGACGGTTCAGCTTTGGGGACCGAATTTACAACTGTTGGTTCTGTCAGTCTTGAGATTCTTTCTTTCAGCAAGGAATCATTGAGATGAACTCGTACTTTCACTGGGTCGCCATGATGTCAAATTTCCATGATCAACCGAATCAATCGTGAAGCCATGCTCCTTGACACGGTTATAGTTTGACCGGAGTACTGCAGTAACTCTCGCTCGCCCAGACCTTTCAAGGGCAACACATGCCATTGTTCCGACCCCGCCAGCTCCGACTACGAGAACGCGAAGGATGGAACCGCCAAAAGATGCCATGATTAGCGTTTGGTTTCCTCAGCCTTGCTTCTCGCCGGTTGGATAGGTAAACAGGTGATTTGTATGGCTACTGTTGGGCTGCGTTAACAGATGGTAAGGAGGAAACGGTATGCAAAGCCGAGACACATGTTGAATCAGATATCTAGTTAGGTTGTGCGGAAATGTGGTGGATCGCCCAGCCATACGATAAGGTTGGCAATCCAAATATGTGGATAAAAAGTTCCGGCCATCCCGTTCCTGCGCTAGTTCAGCTTGGCGGTATGGGAGTGCAGACGGGCAGAGTGTAGAATCTCATTGGCTTAGTAACGTGACTGGTCACTCATCGCTTCAAGTCACTCAACACTTCAATTTTTCTCACTTAAAATACTCAAATTCTTCAACTTTTCACATTACCTCTCATATTAAATGAGGATTCAATTAAACTTGTAATTAAAGATTTGAAAATGCTAAAGATCAAAAATTGTCGTATCACTGCTAAAAATATATATAATTATCAAAAGTATAATATGCTAAAAATATAAAAATATTTAATTAATATAAAATAAAGTTATTTTTTAATATAAAAAAAGATTATAAATATATAAAAATAGTAATTTTAATTTATATAATAAAATCTATAACTTATAACTTTGCTTTTATTTTTTAAATTATTTAAAATTTAATAAAAATTTATTAAAAATTTTATAATAAAGAAATAAATAAATTATTTTATTAAATATTATAAAAATTAAATTAAATTTTTTATATATTTATATAATTGATTTAAAAATATAAAAATATAAAATATTATAAATATTTTAAATATTATTTTATTAAAAAGTGAATATAAATTATATTAAAAATTTTTTTATATTATTAACTACTATATAATAAAATACTAAATTTAATAAGAGAAAAAAAAATACTAAAATCTACTTAGATTATAAATAATTTATATAGTTATATAACTGAATTATAAATAATTCACTAAGTCATATATGAAGCAAAGTTATATAATAAAAATAAATTTAATCTTAGTATCAGTACTTAGTTTAATATCATTCTATGATATAAAAATAAATATATTCTTATATTGATAGATTATTATCATTTTCATTTCTTAAATAATCATTTTTTTTATATCTTTAATTATTTATTCAGTTATTTCAATAGTTTAGCTTTTATAGATCTAGTTTTATAAAAATTATTTATTATATATTATTATTATGACTCAACTAGAGTCAAAAAAATAACAAGATAACAGCTTTAATTCATCTATTTAACTAAGTAGTTATAATGAAAACACTAAACTGAGAATTAAAATATAAAATGAATAAGTAGCTAAATATATAAAAATAATTAAGAATTGAATCAGATCAATTTTTATTCATATATAAATAGCTATACTATAATATTACTCTTTGATTTAAAAAAATATTTATCCTCAAACAACTATATTAAAAGTAAAAAAATATAAAAGAAAATTTATTAAAATTATCAGTAAACTAATTACTTTAATTATTATTTATTAAATTATTATAATTTTTTTCTTATATTTTATTAATATCAGATTTATTTTTAGATTTTTACCTAGAGGTTGAAATTTATTTGATAGAATAATATTAGTAATAAAATTTAAAAAAAAATATGAATATAAATGATAGTCTTTAACTCAATAATCATAAAATTTATAATATATATAATAGTTTTCTTGATTAAATATATAATAAAAAATTATACAAAAAGTCAAAAATATTGAATTGAATTTATTAAAATTATAATGAATAGAATGACCATAATAAGCTAAATTATTAAGTAAATTAAGTTATCAAATAAATTAAGTAATTATAGTAAGCTAGATGAGAAGTATATGATAAAGATAAATATAAAAAACTAGAAGCTAACTACTGAACAATATATAGAAATTTTTTATAAATTTGAAAAAGATTTAACTACTAAGTTATATAAATTCAAATTAATATACTGAGATTGTTATAACTTAACTAGAGTTAAAATAATAATAAAATAACAGTTTTAATTTATCTATCTAATTAGATAACTATAATGAGAATACTAAAGTGAGATTTAAAATATAAAATAAATAAGTAGCTAAGTATATATAAATAATTAAAAATTAAAATAAATTAATATTTAAAATAAAAATAATTAAAGACTAAAATAGATCAATATTAATTTATATACAAGTAGCTATATTATAATATTATAATATATTTAGTTTAAAAAAGTACTTGCTTTCAAATAACTATATTAGAAGCTAGAAAAAAGTTAAAAGAAAATATATTAAATCTATCAAAAAAGTAATTATTTTAATTATTATTTATCAGATTTTTATAAATTTTCTTTTATATACTATTAATATTAGATTAATTATCATATTTTTATCTAAAAATAGAATTTTATTTGATAGTTTAATAATAATAATAAAACTTAGAAGAATATAAATAAAAGTAATAGTCTTCAATTTAATGATTATTAACTTTACAATATATATAATAATTTTTATGATAATATTTTTCTCATTGAGATGATAAAATTAATATAATATATGATAAAAAATTATTATATAAAAAATTAAAAGTATTGAATTGATTCTAATTTAAATTTATAAAATTATAATAAATTAAATATGTCAAATAATCAGAATGAGTTAGGTAATCAGAGTAAGTCAAATAAAAAGTGTATAATAAAAATAAATAAAAAAAATTTAAAACTAACTACTGAATAATATATAATAATTTCTTGTAAATTTAGAAAGGATTTAATTACTGAGCTAGATAATTATGAATTGATATATTGAAACTCTGATAGAATTGAGAGATTTTTAAAAAAAAATTAATTATTTTTAAGTTTTAATCTCATAGAGAATACATTCAAACTTAGTAATATAAATTATTAGAAATTTATTTAATTTTTACTTTAGATTATATAATTTATTTTTTATCTCAATTATCTTATTTAAATTCTTATATACATAGACAAGTTGATTGAGAATTGAGTTGTAGTCTTAATTATTTACTTCTTTAGCTTATGCTAACTGAGAAAGAATCATTATTAATATATTTGAATCTAAATTCAAGGTATAGTAGAATTAAGTAATTAAATCTTTAATAGTAACTTGATTAATATATAGTTTGACTTTGATTGAGAGAAGCCAAATGTCAAATTTAAATTTTAACCAGTGAACTCTTCAGAGTCTGATAATAAAAAATTTAAATAAAATTGAAATTGAGAGATATTTAAAGCAGTCTGTAAAGATTGAAATTCAATTTACAAGAAGTAATATTTAATTTAAAGCTATTGATTTGACTATAAAACTTCTAAATAATATTTTTAAATTTTTAATAAAAAATAATAACAAAAGCTTTAATAATAAAAATTAAAATAATAAAGAAAAGTAAAAAATTAATAAAAATTTTAAGTATTAAAAATAGTTAGAATTACTAAAAAGTTTAATTAAATATAAATATAGATATAAATATAAATATAAACTTAAATATAAATATGAATATAGTCATAAATATAGATATAAAATCTATTTACTCAATTCTCAAAACTTATAATAAAGAGAAATTTAGTATTATATTATAACTCAACTAGAGTTGAAATGATAATAAAATAAATAATTTCAATTTATATATATAAATAAATAACTATAACAAGAATACTAAACTGAGAATTAGAATATAAAATAATCAAGTAGTTGAATATTTATATAAATCAATTTTAATTTATATATAAATAACTGCGCTGCAATAATAACTACTTGAAAATATATATTTTTAAACTAAACTAATATTACAGTACAACTACTTATTGTGAAGGATAGATTGCTTGATTGATTATGAAGTGATCACTAACTACGCGGAAGTTATATACAGTGCAGATTACATAAGAAGATGGATAGACTTGACACTCCCACTTACTGATGTAACTGTATGTGAGATTATATATAAAAAATTTAACCTGTAGCTAGGTATCAGTATATAATTTGACTGGAAAACCTATATTGTTGAAAAATCAGTCATTTCCTTCATATAATCATTTCTACCTGCTTACTGCATCTTCTAATATTGACTGTCATAGGGTGTATCTAGTCACCTCAAGTGGCTTGGTCAGCCTATTTGCTGCATTTTTGGCGGATAGGACATAATCAATCAAGATCTCATTCTTGCAGATAAGATCCCAAAGAGTATGAAAGCAGACCTCTATATGCTTAAATTGATGCAGAATAGCCTCACTTTTGATCAGTTCAATCACTGATTTATTATTTATCTAAATTGTATATACTAGCTTATTGGTTAATGATTCAATCAAACTGTCATTATTATCTAGATTATTAAGTTGGGACAGCATAAAGCTAGCATCCTCTAGCAATTCCTGAAGGCAGACAAGCTCATAGGCAGTCTCCAAGAATGTGATATATTCAGTCTCAGTAGATGATTTTGAAACACCTGTCTGCTTGCTACTTCACCAAGCAACAGGACCCCCTGCCATATAAATAATATATTCAGTGGTGAAGTGGGAACCCAGATCATAGCCTGCCCAATCAGCATCAGTGAACACTACAGGTTCTATATTCACATCTTTTTAGTAGGACATATCTATGTTAAATATATCTTGTAGATATAAAAATTCACTTAAATACTACTCAATTCTTCAAGATAGAGCAGGAGCTGAATCTCCCTAGAAAGTCAGTGATAAAGCTTATATCAGAATATATATTGGCAGTGAGATATTGCAGAGAGTCAATCTCTGATTGATAAGAATATAATGTAAATTCTGCTGTATAAGTAATTGATTTTTCATTATCACTTATGAAATCAATATTCTCCTTCATAGGAGAGGATGTTGAGTGGTAATCATTCATTGAGAATTTCTCAAGCAGGTTCTTTATGAATAGTGGCTGAAACAGTGATAATGATTTAGCATTTTGATCAATCTTCATACTTAAATACTGGTTCAAATTACTCACATCTTTAATCTCATAATTAGTGGTGATC